GAAGGAGCCAAAAATTGATTAAATTCTTCAAGGTAAAATGGATCGCAAAGCTGAAGTTGCATTTAGGCAGTATTCAGTTTAACAATGAATTCGGCACCATATTGTTTTCTGCGGGGCCACGCCCTGGCTATCCATGATCCTTCTTTTACAATTTATTGTTGCTCTTGCGTTGTATATCACAATTTTGTATCGTCTACATTTTCCTGTTCAAAAGTGAGCTTTAAATTGTTGTGATCCATTGTCAATGTTCGTCTCTGTATCACTGGCGCCAAATGAGCAGCCATCTCATCCCTTCCTGCATTTTCTTGGCTGCTCATCACTTCGTGTCTTGTAAAACAGCATAAACTGATAGCCTCTTTAAAATCAGGAATTCTTAGTGCGTACACTATTGGATTGATAAAGGAGTTGGAGAAATAGGTAAAGGACGTTATGAGGGAAATGTTGTTAGACATCCCATATCCAAGAAAGGTTATCAAGTTATAAACCAAAGGTGGAAGCCAAGAACCCATGGCGATGAGAGATACTAATAACAAAGTCTTTGTTAAGCGTCGTCTTTGCAAGACTCTGTTTTGGTGATGAGGAACAGTTTGTTGCTGAATCTTTCTCCAAACACCAAAATTGAGGCCGCTGATGATTAGAAGTACAGACACGAAGATTAAAGACAGGAAAGAATTCAGAGCCACCAGGCTTGAGAATTGCAGGAGAAAAAACTGTGAAAAGAGAACCAAGGAAACTTAATGTCCACACCGTCAAAATAACGAACCTGTATGCTCGCGTAGAAAGTGTCTGCCGGTGCTTCAGCGGCCAATAGATGGCGTAAAATCTCTCACAAGATATCAAAGTAGCGGTAATGAATGATGCCTGAGCGAAAACGAGGAAAATAATTGTAAAAAGCGTTGGAGTTTGTTCATCAAATTTAACCTGACCAAGAGCCAGGGAGTAAACATATGTAGGGAGAGATATACCTCCCAGAAACAGATCAGCAAATGCCATATTCAAAACAAGATATAAACTTTTCTTAGATCGTAGTTTCTTGTTAAGTGCAAAAAGTACAATTGTGAGCAAGTTTCCTACGACAATAACAACAGCTTCCGTCGCAAGAGCACAACTCCAAGCGATGACTTGTACCGAAGAAAAGGACATATCGTCCGGGTGATTGATGGTTGATTTATTTGTCTGATTTGTCATCTCTTGGTCAATGCAAACTCTTTATTTAGTGTTGCATGAGAAACAGACTTGTAGCGACCTACAAGGCTCGGTGATAATGGTTATTTTGCTACAAATGACTTTTAATAAATGTAAAAGAAGACAAAGTGGATGTAATGAATTTTGCATAACTGGCCAGCTGATAGAACAACAAAGGCTTACAATCATAGAGGTCTACAAAGTTTTGAATTTTTCGGCAAAAAATTGATAGATCACCTGTTTTCTCTATGGAGCGCTTACCAAAAAAATTATTCAAAATTTGTGAAAATTTGAAGGTAACTTGTATACAACTCTGAAATAGTAAAAAATATTGAATTCCAAAAAGTGATATTACTGTACTTAAAATAAAACGAGAATGAAAATTGGTAGCATAATTAGCCTTGTTTTGTCATTAGTACATATATGTGGCTGATTAGATCTGTTTTGTGAAAGCTTCCAGCTAGGTTGTGCTGATGAATTTTAATAAGTTCAAAGCAGCTGTCCACGGCTGTTGCTTGACTACTCTGTTGATTTCCAGGCGCGGATCCCATATCGGTTTCACCGTTTTACAGAAATCGGTCAGATTTTTCATAATAAATATATTTTCAGTAAAGAACTTTAAACTTTCCGAGTTAAAATCTGGAAAATGGTTTGGACAGTGACTAAATAATCTGTCTGAAGGACTCAGAAACCCATTGAAGGGGACTTTGAAGAGTTGAAATCGAAAAATTTCTAGATGAATCCATGCCCACAGACCTCCCTATAAGTAGGAAATCGGTCAGTATTAATTCTTGACCCGCGCCTGATTTCCATCCATTTTGCCACAGAATCGTTCTTACTTTGGGATGTCCTATTCTATTCTAAGCCGGCACAGTCGGTTTGCTTGTTGGCAAGGACAATTTGAGATACAACATATTTTGCGTAGGTAGACGTTTTAAGGGGTATATCGTCCACTTTAGCAGGATAAGGGATTGACAACACCTAGCATGCTATATATTATACGTATAGATTTATTGAGTATCAGTATCTGGCAGGTAGTAGTTAATGTTATGATATCTGTCATTAAGCGGGTTTTTTGTCTAGGCCCTCGCTCCTGCAGCATGAAAACGAGGCTGAACTGTTACATTTATATAAACCCAATAAAAAGTGCACAATACGATGGGGAAATAGCTGAATCTTTGCTACTTGACGTTTAGAGCTCGATAGACAGTAGTGTGGGAGATACAATGCGTCACGTGACCAGTTATGAAGAGTCACGTGACTTTCCAATAAAATCGATTTTAAAGCATAAAAGACGCTCTATTCACACTTTCCTTTAATATAGTTTTCAACTTACTGCCTTTTCTTATTTCGATTTACACATCCAACAATAAAGACACAAAAATGCAATAGGTGATCAGCTATGATGGGTCACGTGATGTAATGAAATCATTCTATTTTCAGTCATTCTATAGCGTTTCCAACCTATGTAACACTTCCCATGAGTTAGGATTTTTGATGTAAAAAGACTGAACTTTCTTCTACTTGGCCGCACGGTTTAAGCCAGAAATACAAGCTTATAAACCACAAGCAAAGTATCTTATATTACACAAGACCACCATGTGACTTCCACCTTATCAAAGTTATAGGTCATGCTTCATTCGCCTCTGCTGCAGTTTTCCTGCCGTTTCTGCACCTGTCGCCACATTTACATGCCTTGGAGCAGCAAAGAGATAGTTGAACGCATCCGCCTTCTCGGGAGCGCCCACAGTATGCTAACTGTAAACACGCCGCTGACACTTCTTCTCGCGTCATTAACTTTGGCTTCAGAAGGCCTTCACTGTAACACCATCCGCTGTCTTCAGGCTTTGGGAGAGAAGGACATGGTTCCAGCGCTTTATTCCATACGATGGTCTGATAGTTTTCCTGCTTTATGTGGAGAATCAGTGCATCTTGAGTCGGAGCTCGAGGTAGGGCGTCGAGATCTTCCTTGGATTTGCGAAACGCTGCTGCTCTTTCTTTGTTGATTTCCGCCTCTTGTGTTCCCGGATTGTAGAGTTTGCACACAAAGGCTTCAGCTTTGACAAGAACGTCAGCTCTGATTTGGTGTTCCAAGAGGTCAGGTGCATCTTCGTAGACTTTTCATGCCGATGCCTTGCCCACACCATAGAACTGGCTTGTCGTATCACAGCCAATAATGGCATGAAATGCCAGAAGCGACTTCCTCTTCTCCTCGGAGAACGGGATTCTGTGAACTGGTATGTAACGCCTTTGTCTTGATGTACCTGCAAACATCCATATCTCTTGACAAAGCTGCTCTCGGTGTGCCAAAAGGAGGACAAGAACGTCCGTATCACGACACAAAATGTTGACTTGCCTGTACCCTCTTGCTGCTTCGTTTCGGGCGTACAGTACTATTCTAGTATCTGCCTCCTCATGATCTGATGCGAGCTCTCTTGTATCTTGTCTTGATGTGTCAGATGGCACAACTTCAGTGTATCCTTGAAGCCTCCATTGATCACCAGCTCTCCCCAGGAGGCGCTCTGTAACTCTCCGAGATTTCAGTCAACAGGAAATGAGCTAGGCTAGCCTCGTTATCCTCTAGAATGATGAACCTTTCCCAGTTTCCAATTCTCTGATCTCTGTTATCCACATTGCGTGTATATCAAGACATGTATTCTTTTCTTATTCTTCTGTATTCTTTTTATCCTTGCGCTTGTCTCTGGTTCCTCCTTTTATTGAGTTCTTGACATATCTGTCAAATAGCACGTCAACCCTTGTAGAACTGTCCGAAAAATGGGAAGTGACATGACGAAGAAATCGGTCACTCCACTCACCAAAGGTTTTTGCTCCTGAAGAGTTGGCGAGGGACTGAACAGCTGCCATTCCATCAATAATAGTGCATGTTTGACTCCTGCGGATGGGCATTTGGCTCTTACAGACATTTCCTTGTAAAATGGTACCAAGATCCGACTTCCCTGCTTCTCGTAGACTTCTGTTTAAGGTAGCAAGTGACTTTGGGACTGGAGCAAGCTCGCTTTGAAGCAACGTATTCACATCTACATCACGACCGGATTCCAAGGCTACTATCACCCTTCTCAAGAGATCTTTGTCTGCTTTCATGGCGATTGTCTTGCTCTTATCAACTGACACTGGTACAGTGTAAAGTGTCTCAAGGGTTTTCACCTTCTGTTGCTTTTGAGTGTCATGGAACTTTATTTCTTTCTTGATTAGCCTGGTTTCAACGAACTCTTTGATGACTTTCTTACCAATTTCCCCAACGCTTGTTTAATGGCGTTACTTGCCACATCTCCAGTGGTAACTACAACTAAGTCAGACGTACATCGGAAGACGTCTTATTTCGTAAACTGCGCCTCCAGCTTAACTAAATCCTCTGCATCTTGTCGCATTCTGGCTTTTCCCAGATCTTTGGTGCTAGTGCATTCTCTTTCTAAGACGTTAAACATCTCTTTGGTGTCTTTTGACAGCTTGGCGCGCTCATTTTAGGTAAGACACCAGCGATCTCGAGCCGAGTCTGTCCTTGTAATTCAAATAAGGCCTCCAGCTAACTTTCCAGATTTGTTTACATGCTCCAGTGCTTGGTCGTCGGAAATTTGATTGAAGGTGCTGGCTGTCTCCTTTGTGACAACGTCGCCACTCTCAAATGCCTGCTGGACCTCAGGGGCAGCCTACGGAAGCATTTTCATGTCTGCAAGAAATATGATGCCCCATCTGGTGTAATTCGAGTGTTCGAAAGCCGCAAAATAGGGTAGCCTTTCGGAGAACGAAGAGAGATACAGATCCCACTAATAATTCCTGAAAAGCTTACTGAAACAATTAATCAGTCACGCTATTCACACAGCTAAGGCTAATTCAGTATCTATTCAATGGTTGTTATCTAGTCACGTGACCCATTATAGCTGATCACCTATTGCATTTTTGTGTCTTTATTGTTGGATGTGTAAATCGAAATAAGAAAAGGCAGTAAGTTGAAAACTATATTAAAGGAAAGTGTGAATAGAGCGTCTTTTATGCTTTAAAATCGATTTTATTGGAAAGTCACGTGACTCTTCATAACTGGTCACGTGACGCATTGTATCTCCCACACTACTGTCTATCGAGCTCTAAACGTCAAGTAGCAAAGATTCAGCTATTTCCCCATCGTATTGTGCACTTTTTATTGGGTTTATATAAATGTAACAGTTCAGCCTCGTTTTCATGCTGCAGGAGCGAGGGCCTAGACAAAAAACCCGCTTAATGACAGATATCATAACATTTGGAGTGGCAACAGCACAATTCTTAATCAGGATGGCAAGATGAAGATCTTAAGCCATGTTGCCTGCTTCTACTCAAAATGTTTAGCGAAAATGAAAAATGAGCGCCCTGCGTGACAGTGCTTCCTGACTATAACACAAGATCACTTATTTATTTATACTACAAACTAGGCAAATAAGCTTCGTATTTATCTAGAAAGTGTTTGCTTTGCAAGTTATTCTTTATTTTAAAAATGTTAGTTTTTTTAATCCCTTATCATAGGGAGCATTCATGTTACGAATGACCCTCCCCTTCTTTTTTGTTCAAACTGTACGCCGTCACTTTAATTATAGATTCAACTGGAATTAAAATCCCCTTCTTGAATGACAATTGTATTGAAAGAAAATTGTTATTAAGACGACATCAAATGGTCTCGACTGCAGCTTTCACGTTTAACGCGGCTTTTATGATTATTGTAGACATTGGTATTGTTTTTAAAGCAAGAATTGTTAGAATTCAGGCGTCTTTAAAAGCACTCTATACATACACTAATAAAAGATCATGATGATGATTCTCATGCAGCGTTCGCTTAAAATGGCGGATGACTTTTTCCGAAGGGATGGAACAGGTTCTCATTTTTGGTTTCCAAAACTGAAATAATTATGCTTTGAAAGTCGATATTAAGCTTTTATCCCAAAGTCAATCTTTAAGCGCGTAGAAAGATAGTGTGTATCGTATCAGAAGCATATAACCCCGAAGTGTATAACTTTGTCGCAATGCTCGAGTTTTCTAGGGAACCAATCAAAATTTACTTCCTAATATGGAATTACTAATAAGCGAGATTTTCGTTCGACTGCTCTGTAGGAAAACTTGTATCGCGATGTAAATGATGCGGTGCAAAAAGCATTTACTGTTTTACTAGGTAATATTTGACAAAAAACGGAATACACCATTAATCCCCGAATGACCAAGACTGAGTTAGTTCCTCCTAACAAGACAAAGTCGACTACCAATGACATGCACCGTATTAAAAGAGAAGCGATTTCTTGAAGTTGTTACTCCAAAAACGATTTTTTCCTGTCCATTACCGCAAATAACCTTAAAAAAATCAGTTACTATCTATCTAGAATTTTTAAAGTAGTAACACATATATTCAAAAATTCACTAGTTGCTGAACTGGAAAGTATAAATTGCATAAAATTCCCTGACATCTTCGCAGAAGTGATGCGAGTAATAAGACACTGAATGAGAAGGATGAAACGCAAGTTAATATTAAAGACTTAGATGCGGCGATCAGGTTTTCAACTAATGTTATGAATGAACAAACAGAAAACAATAAACAGACAAATGGCTTCTTGAAACGTTTTATTCGAAAACCCATAAGTTTACCGTTAAAAGCAATTCACGTAACACTGACTGGATCGTCAGGATCCGTTTCCACAAGTAAAATCGGCTCTCTCAGATCGGGCGCATTCCCCAATTTTTCTTGAAAACTCTATCAAAAATATATAAAAAGTCTATGAAACATTTATAAATACATAAATTTCCTTTCATCATCGTACTTTCCTTGAGCATGATGTGTGAAATGTAAGTTTACCTGAAAAGTCTGTAAAACGCTTGCTGGCTTGGTCGCAGTTCAGAAAAGGACAAGCGCTCCGCCGTGAAAGAAACAAGGTCGAAGTCCTCGAAGGTAAATTTCGCAGCTTAAGACTTTTCTTTGTCCCCAAAACGAGAAAAAAAACTTTTACATGTCACACGTCTAATCAAAACTGCCATACATGTGTTCGCGTACTGTTCTGAATGAATTAAAAAATCCACACTCACAAAAAAAAGATTCCGTTCCGACTTCCTTGGCGCCTTGTACAACGTTTCTGCAAAGCCCTCCATATCATTTTGTTTGTTGCTGATTTCGGCGAGAGGCTTTGCGATGTCGTGAAGAAATGTAAACATCCTTGTCTTATTTCGTCGCTGGTCGATGTTTTCAAGCCATACCGCTTATAACTTTGTGGCTCTTTATGTTTTCCCAGGGTTGCATCTTATAGCAGCATAATTAATTTATCTTTTATGCCACGAAACGATTTCTTTCGGTTGTAGAAATACATGAATAAGCGTTGGAGGCTCAAAGCTTGAATTCTCGGATTCCATATTTGGGCAAAATAATTTTCCGTACTTCTGATTGGACGGCTGCGTCGGCTAAAAAACCCGAGCATGGTTCTAAACAGATAAGGGGAATTTAGACGCTTCAGGGTTATATGTTTCTGATCGTATATAACGTCTATTTGATATAAAAATCAGAGCGATTTGCTCTTGATTTTGTTGTATGTTGAAGTATAAATCAAACGATGATGCGCACAGATTTTGTTAGAAAAAGTCGTGATGAATCCTAGGACTCATATTGTGAATAATCTTGAGTCCCAGTGTAGAACCAGTGGGTCGGATATTTAAACGAAGTCTAACTTAGACCGCGGTTTAAGAAATCTTTGGACCACCAGATCTCTTCCTTTGTGGGTTATTTTAAGAAGATAAATGCTTTCTAGCATACACTATATGCTTTAATAAAACTACTCACTACAAACGTGTTTAGATAAAAGCGTTGGGTAAACTGAAAATGACTTAAAGCGCGGTTTTGTTAAACACTGCACCGTTAAACCCCGTTTAAATATCTTTCCCAATAAGTCCCAGGTCAAAAAACGACTTCTAAATTGTAATACTTTGGTCTTATGTAACCAGGCAGTAACTGAATTTGAAGACAGACTCCAAAACTCTTTACCTCAGTTTACTGAAATTAAACTATAGTCCTTGTATTTAAACAAAAAAAGTAAGGGGGCTAAAAGAAATATGCATCGTTAAACGACAGCCACATTAACAGCCACAGAAATCACACCAACTGGATTTTTTACAACGACATCTTGAAATCGATCGATCGATCTTTGCGTCTTACGGGAGGCATCCAAATATTATGCGTCAGGGGCGCAGGAAAAAGAGGTAGCAAAATCACTGGAGGGTATATTGGTTTGATTCGTCTCTCCCGCCTTCTAAAACGTCTAGTTTAGATTTTGACTTTGTCTGTACAACCAGAAATATTTTTTCATTTGTCCCTAACGAATAAACTGACACGCTTTTTTGGTATGTTTGTAAGTGCTTTACATGTACATCGATTTAATATGTCGCCAAGCTAACAGACGGAAAAAGGGAAGGAGCCAAAAATTTATTAAATTCTTCAAGGTAAAATTGATCACAAAGCTGAATTTCGGTTTAAGCAGTATTCAGTTATACAATGAATTTGGCACCATATTGTTTTCTGCGGGCCACGCCCTGACTATCCACGATCCTTTTCTTTTACAATTTATTGTTGCTCTTCCGTTGTATATCACAATTTTGTATCTTCTACATTTTCCTGTTCAAAAGTGAGCTTTAAATTATTGTTATCTACTGTCAATGTTCGTCTTTGTATCACTAGCGTCAAATCAGCAGCCATCTCATCCCTGCCTGCATTTTCTTGGCTGCTCATCACCTCATGTCTTGTAAAACAGCATAAACTGAGAGCATCTTTGAAATCAGGAATTCTTAGTGCGTACAGTATTGGATTGATAAACGAGTTGGAGAAATAGGTAAAGGACGTTATGAGGGAAATGTTGTCAGACATCCTATATCCAAGAAAGGCTATCAAGTTATAAACCAAAGGTGGAAGCCAATAACCCATGGCGATGAGAGATACTGATAACAAAGTCTTCGTCAAGCGTCGTTTTTGCAAGACTCTGTTTTGGTGATGAGGAACAGGTTGTTGCTGAATCTTTCTCCAAGCACCAAAATTCAGGCCGCTGATGACTATAAGTACAGACACGAAGAATAAACACAGGAAAGAGTTCAGAGCCACCAGGCTTGAGAATTGCAGGAGAAAACCTGTAAAAAGAGAACCAAGGAAACTTAATGTCCACACCGTCAAAATAACGAACCTGTATGCTCGCGAAGAAAGTGTCTGCCGGTGCTTCAGCTGCCAATAGATGGCGTAAAATCTCTCACAAGATATCAAAGCAGCGGTAATGAATGATGCCTGAGCGAAAATGAGGAAGGAAAATAATTGTAAAAAGCGTTGGAGTTTGTTCATCAAATTTAACTTGACCAAGAGCCAGGGAATAAACATATATAGGGAGACAATACACCTCCAAGAAACAGATCAGCAAATGCCATAGTCAAAACAAGATATGAACTT